AAGGTCGGATTCATTAATTTGAACATGGGAAAATCCATCACCTAGAATTGGAATTACAGCTACAGAAGCAAATGAAGTATGCCTGCGCTTATTGCTGTCAAATGGTGAGATACGTACTAAACGGTGTGCCCCAACTTCTGATTTGGCATATCCGAATACATACTCGCCGTCAACTCTGATTGTTGCCCGCTTAAAGATGTAAGTGTGTGAAGATTAGGAAATGAATAGAAATTGTCACAAAAACAATCAAGACAATAATTTAAAAAAAACAAAAACAAAAATCAAGTGTCACATCTAGGATACTCTGACATTGGCCCGCTAAAAATGAAATGTAATGAAGACAAGGAAACAAATAGCAATTGACAAAAATCAGACAAGAAAATATTATGAAAAATGATTTGTCTTATGTTTAAACTTACTAACATCTGACATCGTCTAAAAAGTTTGGAAGAGAGGCATAAGGCATTGGTTCGGTATACACACTACTTCCTATTAACAAGATTTATCACACAAAGGGTGCAGAAACGACAATCAACTGCTGTCCAGGAGAAAATATTGCATGCACAGACACCATTAAACATTATAAACATAAAAGGTGGTAAGTACATGAACCTTGATTCCTGCCATCTCACCAGGCATTTCATCCACAACGGTAACTCCAAAGCCTCGACGTTCAGCCCATGTCTTATACATCTGCATGACCATTGAAGCCCAGTCCATGCTCTCAGTACCACCAGCTCCGGCTTGAACCTATAATTAGTAAAAAAAAAAAAGGATTGATTTCACCAAATTGATTTAACAAGTGCAATCATATCTAGATAATAATAAGGTTACAGAATCCACCAGAAATAATCACACATTTTTACAAGGACAAAATTCAGAAGCAAATAATATTGATAATTAAATGCACTTACAAGGTGGCCATTAATCAAGTTTACCTCAATGAAACAAGAAGAAGTGTCATGCTCCCCAACTAACAAAGCTTCAAGCTCTTTTTCCTTGATGTTTTTTCTCATTGTAAGTAGAGCCTTTTGAGATTCCTTTTAATTAGAAGAATAATAAGTTAATCTCGCATGCAACTCATGAGGACAGAATCATCTTTTCAATATTTACATCATTCCCAAAACTAAAACACCACCAAAATGAATTGTGAATATAGATTACTTCTGTATTACACACAACATTAAAGGAAAGCATTCCATGCAACTCTCCAAGGACCAACTTTTCTATTTCTATTTTCTTGTACTTAAATTATTATATGAATTAATCTATTGTTATTTGAATTCCATTATATTAACTAGACACACACACACAAATCACATTTTCACCCCAACAAACTAAAGTCATTTAATTCAATGGTAATTTAGGACCAAATACATCGCATGATCCAACTAAGCTTTCCAAGAGACCTAGATAGGGGAAATTAAGATTTATGATCCAATCATTTTTTAAAAAATGCGCTAGGCATTATTGAAGCCGGCTGAAGTTTGGAAAGAATAATGAAATAATAGAAATGAGTAGTTTCCTGCCAAAAGTAGAAGCATTATGAAAACTCCGTAAACAGAAAAGGAGGATACATGCCAAGAAAGAGAATAATTGAGGCCCCACCAATTCCAATTCTGCATCATTCTCTTCCCGAGAAAGTTTTATCATATCAATATGCTCAAGTAGTTCTTGCTCAAATGCATTAACCTCTTTCATTTTTCCCATAAGTGAACCATGTTCACGGCTTATCTTCCCTGCATATACAGGATCATCCCATAGGTCTGGCTTATTCAGCTGGTCTGATAATATCTCCAGCCTATGTATTAACTTTTTCCACTGTCAGCAAACAAGAAAAAAAAAAGAAAAAGAAGAATAAATTTCATTGTTGACACAACAAATAAACTGAATAACTGATAATAGTGCAAAACCAACAACATAAACTAAAGTAATCAAAAACACATTAGTAAATTATTGCATTTGAAACATACATAGAATCTGACAATGACCATAAGCTCGTGAGTAAGAATCGATCCAAATCATCCAAGTGTCAATTAATTTAGTCTCATTCCGATTAAAAGAAAATGATAAAATCAATAATTTATCTCAACAGCATGCTATTCTAAACCTTTTATTTATCAAAAGAAGGAAAAGCCGTGAACTTCAAACCAAATCATAGTGATAAACAATAACCAATAGCAGGAAAACCGCAATGCACAGAGCACAAAATTCTCAACGAATTTCAAAACTTTTAACAAGTTTACAATTGGATGAAACGTAGAATTATGTGGAACTGATAGAATCACATGTACCCTCAGGCGTTTCTTGATAAGATGAACGGACTGAGCAATGGCAGAGGCATGGCTCTTCCAATCACTCTCATCATCATCATATATGATCCAACCATTAGCAATTATACCCTCCACCGTGAGCCCATCAGAAGTGGATTGCTCAACTACAGCCTGCGAACTCAATAAACGTGCAGAAACAGACCCACATGGAATGTTTAAATTCTCACGCAAAAGTGAAGAGAACCCATTATTTCTACAACAAAAAACATGCCCAGATGCTAGAATTGACTGTTTATGAATCGGAGTGGGTGAATTTTGATAATAGGNNGGAGTGGGTGAATTTTGATAATAGGTTTCAGAGAGAGATGAGTAGAAATGGGTGAATAAGTTGGGACTATTGAATATTAGGGATGATTTCTGGTTTCGCAATCTCTGTAGCAAACATAACGACATTCTTTTGTTACAGTACGGTGAGATTGATCATGAATTACAAGGGGAAAACCCCCAAAACTGCATATAGGGTTTAAGACACAAAGGTTCTTAAAGTTCAAAGATTAACCACAAACGGTCTGGGGTACTTTGCATGTGAATGCTATTTATTCATGGTACGCTTCAATTTGTTATTGATGCATTAACTTGTTATTTGAGACAATAAAATTATAGAAAATAAATGTTTCAAATAAGAAGCGGTCGGGCAACTATTGTAATTATTGGCCTCCATTGTATTATAATTTTTTGAATAATTGGTGGTTAAAAAAGAAAGAAATATTTTTGATCTACGTGTAATATTATTTTATTGAGAAATACGTGATTGAGAAGAAAAAAAAAATGTATTATAATTTTAATGGGCAAACAAAAGCTTCATAAATATGACATAACTGTTGGATATGTACCTTAAATACTCTTTTAACACTTGTACCTCAATCAACAATAAAACTCATGGGAGATCTCTTTAATTTGTTCTAGTTTTTATGCAGGGTGTAGTGTTAGAAAATATTTATTTCTAGTCTACATACGCACATCTCAATAGAGATAATAAAACATTCGGTCAAATTTGATATCCGTGGGCCTCTCCCCGATTACTCGCTTAATCGGATATTCGGATCGGGACGAAGCAGGTGACTTCGCCCCGAGGCTAGTATGGGTAACAAGTGCACCGCCCCCTTTTAATTCTTAATTTTTCTTAAAAAAAAAAAAAAAAAGGAATTCAGTATTTTAAATGAAAAATTCTACGAA